ATACCATGCTGTTCCTCCTCCTTTTTGGTTTGTAGCCCTTTGGCTGATGAAACTGCATCAACTCAACTGAGACCTGAGTTGCAGAGATGGTAATCTCGTGTCTGATACCGTTGGTGTTTCCTGTTCGGTGTTGCACAAGGTCTTTGAGCTTGTTTTCAGATTGCAAGTGCAGAAGCCTTGTTACCATGTGAGTCAGACCACTCTTCCTGTTAAAGGGACTGGCTTTCAGTAATTCTCAGAGGATCAGGTACTAACAGTTCAAACCCTGCTTAGTGTAGTACCATATAATTACCCTGTCACCTTTCATGATATTTTTCAATAGTTTCTTTTCTAAGGTGGGTGAATTTTGTGCCACTGTTTCGCTACTCGTTCTGTTAGCTTCCTGCCAAGCAGTAGTGATTCTATCAAACAATTCCATTCCCTCTGTATTGTTCGTAGACATAGTGCTGTTGTCTTATGTGTGCAAATCTCAAAACTTTATTCTTAAACAAATAAAGGTTTTTTTATTATTCTCTCCAGTATATTAACGAATCAAAATGTATGCAGCCATGCAGAAATCATATCCTGATTACAGACTTTCATATTATAGACCAGGAAAGGCTGTTCTGCTCTGCCTGTCAGTGCATGACACTAAATAGCATGGGTGAGGTTCTACTTAATCCGGGTAAGATTATGCACCTTGAGACTGAGTGCAAGGACTGCTTTGTTATTCTTGCATCTGAGCAAGAAATTTCTCAGTCAGTGTTTTTCTTTGATGCCCTTGAATACTGGACCATCCCAAGGGAAAAACAGTGTTCCTTGTCCGCAAAGTAGGTTACTCATGGAAGTGCCACAGGTTGGACCAGGGAGTGTTTTCCCATCCATCTCTGGGCTAGCTTTCTTGCTGTGAATCTGCCAAATTCCTCTGGTGTTGGAAGTGAGATAACTTAATTCCAACTTCTGAGCCCACAGCTCAAAAACTGTAGAAATTTCCATCTCAATTTCAAAGCAAGGGTATATATGGCGTTAGATATTAAGGAGGAGGAAAGAAGTTTTGTGTGGGTCTGTTGCCAAGTTCAGAGCACAGGAGTTCTGTATGGTTATCCAGGGCAGCAGGGCTGGTCCTTGTGAAAAGGAGATGGTTGGAGGCCCCCTAACAGGGGTACCTGAATGGATGCAAGTAGGTCTTTGGAAATGGCAACAAAGTGTGTGATGGAGAAAAGACAGTAACAGGTAAGGAGAAGTAGGAACAGATACACAGAAACCATAATTTTAAGTTGGGTGAACCTGAAATACGAAGATGTACAATAAAATACAAGAGTTTTATTATTTATGTCTCAATTTAGATTTAATTTTTTTATCAGCAAAGAGGGCACTAAATCTGAAATTGGGAAGGTAAAAAATTAGTAAGTCTAACAGGTCTGCGGGATTTCTGGTCAATGGTGCAGCAAAAAAATGTATCGATGAGTCAAAATACAATGAGTTAATATTCATGTATTATGTAAACCTATAAGAGTTTAATATGCATAAAGTAAATAGTGAGCTGAAGAGAAAAACCCCAACCCTTTAGATACACAGTATGAGAAATGTGGGAGCATTTAAAAGAAAAAAAAAAAGGTTTTCATGAGAGCTCGATGAAGGTTTAAGAATTTGAAATATTTGGAGGAAATAGAAGAAAAGGAATATCTTTACCTGTATGCTCGGTGTTTCTTCAGAAAGTCATCTAGAAGACATCGATTTGAAAACCAGTCACTTAAATATAGCTTAGGTTTCACATGTATGCCTTCCCACAAGCCCCTCCTTAGCTTGTTTATTATTAACAACTGCCATTTCCTCTTTTATTTTAATTCTGCTTTTTTTCTTTTCTTAAACTCTCATGGGAAACACAAAAATTTTTATTTTTTATCTCTTCAGTATGTTGTAGTTGATAGTAATTTTAAGGCTTACTAGTATTAGTACCATATACAGAAAAACCTGACAGAAAAATTACTATTTAGTAGATGTAGAGGAGGACTGAGTGTGAAACTCAGTATTTTTCTGGGCACTTTGGTAAATCTTTTACCCTTTTTTGTTAATAATAGCTCATACATGTGCAGGTTTCACTTTGGGTTTCTGGTTTGAATAAGTTCAAGGCTATTTATAAAAGTCAAAAGAATTTGCTGGTCCAAAATGGAGCAATGCCTTCCTTGATTAGGATAGTTCCCATATTTGCATACTGTTTTGTCTGTTTTGTTCCTGCTGTGGCAATCAAATAAAAGAAATGAAAATGATTCTGAAGGAGAATGGATGGACACCCATTTACAGTTCCACATTCTGAGGATTTGTTTTACTATATTTTGCTTTTCTAGTTCTTGACAAAATGCCTTATAAGTTCGGAGAGTTCTTATACCAATTTAAGAGATCATTCGGTTTGTTTTAACATAAAAATATTTTCAGGGTGTTTGGTGATTATGAAGATAATTTTGTCTTCCCAAACCCAGTCAATAAAAATTCAAGAGGAGAAATTTCAGGGTGTTTGGTGATTATGAAGATAATTTTGTCTTCCCAAACCCAATCAATAAAAATTCAAGAGGGGGAAAAAAAAAAAGAAAAAGATACCAGTGACAACATGAGGTGGTGATGATGATGGATGGATGTTCATTGAAAGTGACACTTGAAAGGGACACCGACGTATTTCCTTCTCAAAATATATGTTCAGATCTTCTCCCTTCCCCCATGTGCTTAAGGTCAAAAAAACCCATAGTATTAAATGTCATCTATTTGAATTGATAAGGAAAAGTAATCAGTGACTAACTCATCTCCAATTTACAGTGGAAATTCTTACAGAATTCTTCACACATTTCTTTTTCATAGGATTACATTATTTTCCTTATGAACTGAACATGTCTGAAGATTCAGAAAATCATATAATTAGAAAGAAAAAGGCTCCCAATTTACTAGAAACTGTCCAAATCATGTAGTTTAGTGAAAGTGTTGTATAATCCAGTATTCAGTTCTCATGCCTTTTTGTTTTGTTAGCTACTGAAGACAGTTCTTAGTTGAGTTTGTTTTGTTTTGTTTCTAGTTTTAGACAGTTCTTACTCCTCTTGATAAGGTGTCCTGGTTGCAACCCAGGAGTAATTTTTTTTTGCCATTTATATCTCTATTCTGGAAAAAATATACAAAGCAGGATTTCAGTTTGTTGAAAGAACCGCTGTGGAGATATCTAGCCAGTGCTTAAAAAAACCACAAAAACATACAAATGGCTAGAGCTGGTAAGATTCTCACAGCAGATATCTTGTTCTCCTAAATCAGAAAACAGGAAAACAAACTTATTCAGTATTATTTAAGTACTGATGAGATACTTGTTGGTATGAACTGTGGCTCCATTTTTTTTGTCACATAACATGGCTAGAGCTGGTAAGATTCTCACAGCAGATATCTTGTTCTCCTAAATCAGAAAACAGGAAAACAGACTTATTCAGTATTATTTAAGTACTGATGAGATACTTGTTGGTATGAACTGCGGCTCCATTTTTTTTGTCACATAAATTTGACTTCACTCCGCCTGATCAAATAAGTGCCATTTTATCTATCCCTTTTATGAAATTTGATTCTCCAAGTGCCAGGTGTGTAGGAAGCTACACAGCTGTACATGCAAATAAATGAATTAAGTTTCAGCAGTCATTCATTTACCCAACCAGCATATTGCTGATTCTACAGAAACGGAATTTTATGTAGATGATAACTATGATACATACAGAGAGAGTGAGCCATCCAGTGTGGGTTTGTCAGCTGGAAATGAAGCAGATAAGATGACTTTAGCTCCCTGTTCACTCATGACTGAGTGATGTGTGTTCCCTGTTACATGGGCATAGCTGTGCCATCTCCAGTGTTGGACTAGGGTTACCCTCAGCCGGGCCAGCCACATCCTATTAGAGTGTCTTTAATAGAATCCAGTTCCAAATCTTTAAGTCTTTGATTTCCAGAATCTGAGAGAAACATGAAAGCTCAAAGTCCAGTTCCTGGTTGCCTGTGCCTTGCTTTTAGTTACACCAGCTACGAAAAAAAGGTAGAATATGCCCTGAGCCTGACTAATGAAAACTGTACATGCCTATTCCTAATGAGTTCTGGTGTTAGGGATATCACAGGTGGTAAGAGGACAAGTGGAAATTTAACCGGTCTTGCTTATGTAGATGCCAGAAAGACCAGGTCCAAAGGAGGCAGAGTTCTCAGTCCCTTGCAGTTTTGAGTCTCTTAGTTCTTGTCTCTGGCAGTGTTCCATGTCAGCCACCTTTTTACCTTTCAAAGGAACAAATTCACGAGAAAGAGGATTATTATAGGAGCTCTATCTCCCCGGGATCTCAGCACCCCAGTGTGTGGTGCTGTCCTCACAACCCCTCCTCGTGCAACAAGAGACACCGCTTACTCTCATGCAACATTTACCCATTTCCCTTGTCTCAGTGCTTTCCCTCAGCTGCCTTGAGGATAGGTAAGACTGGAGTTCTCTCAGTACACTAGTATTTGAAAGAAAATAGGGAGAAATATTGAGGCAAAACGTTGATCATGTACCTAACAATAACCAGGTCCTGCACTAGATAATGCCCAGTAAACTCTTTTTGTATTTATTAGTCATCTCAGCCAAACAAAGCAAGCTTTTAAGATGAAGCCTTCTGGAATTTTTCAACCTCAAACTTTGTTTTCCTCTCCTTTTCTCACTAATTACATTTCTTTAACGTTTAAGATACAACCATGGTTCATTAGCTGGTGACTTCCTAAGAAATGTAAATAATGGAGGTTGTTGGAACTCCTCAGGACCATAGAGTCTAAGTGTGTGTTTAAGCATATACAGGATTGAGATTCTGATCTGAGGTGGTTATTTCTGAACTGTGGATGGAGGTTTTTGCAAGTCATGAACAGTTGTTTTAAAGTTAATTGGGAACAGAATATAGAAGAGCATTGCATATCCTCTGTTTTTGACCATTGGTGGCTTTGAAATGAACTTGTGATGATTCCTTGTCTGTGGATTTTTTTTCTTTCAGATGGAGCAAACATGTGATGATATAGATGAAATGTTCAGCAATTTACTTGGGGAGATGGACATGCTGACCCAGGTAAATAGTATCAAGATTAGAAAAATAGCTATTATGTGTTAGAGAAAAGAGGCAGCTTTTCTACCTTTTTCATGTACCTCCACTCTGAATAAATACAGATCCATTATTATGAAAAACCTTCAACTAAATTTCTGTGCTTGACATTTAAAACAAGTGGCCTGAAGAATAAGGTAACATAAGTGCAGGCTGGATTGTTAAAGAGAGCTAACTGCATATGAAAGATGCTTTTTCCCAAAAAAAGCAAATAAGCAATTTAAATTCCTCTGGACTCAGTCCCAAGAAATTGAAAGATTCTGTCAAAACAGGAAGAGTTTGAGTCAGAATTTTCAGGTATGAATGCTTTGCATACATGGGCTAATGTGATGTAGCCTGAGTGTCAAATGTAAACTTTGGAAATGAAAACAAGGTTCTGAATATATGCATAAGAGTAATCTTTAGCTATGGCAAAATACTAAGTTACAGCTAGAGTGGCATTCAAGAATCTGGAGAGACGTTATTGCCAGTGCAGAGTACACTCTTGAGAGGAAACTATAAAACAGCATGAGCCTATTTCTAAACCCGTAGTCATGGAATACTTCCTGCAAAACCTGATGAAAGGAGAATTTTTATTTTTAAAAAAACCCTCTCAAAGTCAGTAAATTTGTTACGCTTTAATAAATGCATGCTTGAAAACACTTAAACTGTCATCTTGAATACTGTGTGAGTTTGATTGCTTACAGCCTCTGTTTTGAGGGGTCTTTCCTCTTGGTGAGTCCCAGTGCTTGTCAAATTAAATACCAATAACTCTGAGATACAGAATAGGAATTGTGCTTAAACTGTGCGAAAGCCAAGATTTCACATGACATTCTTAGCGGTCTCTGCTTCTTGGTAGCCTTTCTGATTTTTAAAGGCTTTTTGCACTCATGCATTTTTATTTCATATATATATATATATATATGAAGAGGGAGGCGTTTAGAGGAATTTCATTTCATTGTTATGTCTTGAAAATTAACAAAAGACTGCTTGTCATTAGATAAATACAGGTCATTGATTTGCAGGTTTTAGTGTCTGTAATAGTAATTATGTCATCAAATAACTTTTTTTTTTTTCCTTTTGCCTTAACAGAGTTTAGGAGTGGAGACTTTACCACCTCCATCCCCCAAAGTGTCCAACAATGAATTTAGCTTTACAGTTGGTTTTAAAGATTTAAATGGTAAGCAGCTGAATGGACTCCTTCATGGTTTTTGTGCTTATTTAAAGTACCTCACAGCAACAAATGAGAAGAAAAACTTCAAACACGCTTGATCAGAAAAAAAAAACCCAAAACAAAAAATAGAGAGGTATATTTGTGTGTCTGAATTTAGGAAACTTCAAAGGGGCCAAAATTTTTTTAAAGGGACATTGCTCAGTCTTACATAGGAGTCAGACTTTTTAAAATGTCTGAGTGTAGAGAAGCAAAAAAATGAGAAGTCCCTCAAAAAACTGTCTAAAATGCAGCTTTTTTAATATAAAGATTTAACTTAAGAGAAGACAAAATTCCTCAATGTGAGGTCAGAGCTGCTGCATCAGCATTTTTGTCCAGTGGAACTATCGACTTCAACTGCTTCCACTTTACACTGCTTATTCTCATTCTGGTTTGCACTGTCAGTTTTGCATGTACAGCTGCTTGTTGAGGCTGTGTGATGAACCAAATGAGGGAGTTTATCCTTTGGTTTTTTTAGTGGCTTTTTTTTTCTTTTTACTGAGGCTGGTTGTGTGCATTTGCCCGAGTTGGTTTTAACCCATGTTTTTGTCCCAGAATCATTTCACTATTAAGCTACCTAATGCCTTTACCAGCAAAGCGGGTAGAGGTATGTAAACAGAGAGGATCATAAGCCAACTTTCCCACTGAAAAGAAAAGCTTATGAAAATACTCTATTAGCATAACAGGTAAAGCAGAATAAACTGAGACAGTCTAGTGACATGTTCACGCTTAGCCTGATGAGTGATATAGTCTTTGTTGGACTTTATTAGCCTTTTTGAGTATCTAGTTCAGTGCTCTTCATCCCTTTCTGAAATTGCATTTAAAGCGTTCCCAATTTGTGATTTATTTTATTTTAACGAGGCTCTTTAAAGAGATTGAAACCTCTGAATCTCTTGGTACTTAAAGAAATCTTTTCTAGAAAAGCTAAAGAGATTGAAACCTCTGAATCTCTTGGTGCTTAAAGAAATCTTCTTTTCTAGAAAAGTTAGATCATCCCTACAAGATGTTATTCCACAGGATCTCTTATACCATGGAGACATACCGTGGAAACAACCAAAGAAGAAATTGAATGTGCAGTTCCAGTATAGGATTTCATCTTTGACAGAGTAGAAGACAGAAAGCAAAAGTTGCAATATTTCTATCTGGTTGATAAGATGCTTTTGAAAAGATACTGTCTTGTTTGTTCTTTGCTTAAATGATCCTCAAAACCCTACATGTTGCATGAGATGTCACAGATGTTGATCACACAATTACTGATCTGCTGCAAATGATACAATTTCTTGTGTCTTAGAACTCTCTGATTCTGCTTCATATTATTTTTAGAGTTGTAGAATAGCAGTAATATACGAAGATATTGTTGATATAGGCCTCAGTTACACAGTTTGTTGTATGCTATACCAAAACTTGCTAAGAATTTGTGTATGTACTTAAATTAAGATAAGTAAATAGCCAAATGGGAGCTAATGGAATTTCTTACATCCATATCACTAAGCATGTGTCCAGAAACCTTGCTGGATCAGGGCCAGGTTGCATAACATCATAAGGGCCTGAGACTGTGTCACTGAAAGTGAAGCTTCCTGTCCTGTTTAATTTGTATTTATAGTTCCTTGCACTCTGAACTTCAGTATGACCAGGTTAATGGCTATTCCTAAAACACATTTGTTTCTTGAACCCACTTAAAATGTTGTTTCCTTTCCCATAACCCTTATATCTTACAGTAACCATGCCTCCTGCATGGTTTTTAATTTAATCTCTACTGAACGGGAAACATAGTCTTTTGCATTGCACTCACTCTGACACGTTTTGTGGTTTTCTTTACAGAATCCCTAAGTGCCCTAGAGGACAAAGACCTGGATGCTTTAATGGCTGATCTTGTAGCAGACATAAATGATGTTGAACAGAGAACTTTACAAGCCCAGAAAACTTCTTCTGGCAACCAGCAAAGTACAGTCACTCAGCCTTCAAGAGACTTGGATGGTGACACTTATTCTAAATCAAGTCCCTATGTTACCATTACTGGACATTTTGGGGATGACTTGCCCCCTCCACCTCCAGCCCCTGATTTAGAGCTTCCACCACCACCGCCGCCACCTCCTCCTGAGCCACTCACCCAGGTAAGCTTGAGTGGAACCTGTTCTATGCGTTCAGTAGTTCTTGCAATTTTCCAAGGGGTATTTGGCATTGGAACAACAGTGGATATCCCTGGTAGAAACATCTTGGGAGGGTTCTGCAATGATGAAACGTGCATGAACTGTGGAATGAAAGTTTTCTTTTATTGTAGGCTTATGAATTTCTGCCTTTTCCTTGACCCATTGCCCATTCCTTTGCCTTTCTGACCATCACTCTGACATCTCAAGACAGGCATAAATCATTGCAAATGGTTACTGTAATGGAAAACTTGTCACTGTTTTTTTTTAATAAGCACTTCTTTTTTAATAAGCCTTCTCATAGAGAACTTGACTTTGGAGTCAGTGCAAAGCATGGCCAAAGATCCCATGATGGCCAAAGATCAGTTTGTAAAGCTGTCACTGTGTTTGTTGCAGTCTGTGCTATTTATGCTGATAAGACAGTTCTGTGGATGTTTTCCAGATTCATCCCTGGCCTAACTTATTTCTTGCAATAGGAAAAGCTGTTCAGTTGTGTGAAACTCAACATTTGCTAGGAGACTGGGTGCAAGGCTGAGCACAGGAAGTACCTCTCCTAATCCCAACACAGAATCACTCTGCTCTTCTTGGTCTTGACTTTGAAGGGAAGTAACAAAAACCATCTGCAATATGGGACAAATACACTTAGGAGGTACCAAATTTATCAGTAGGTACTATTTATAAACAGCTGGTTTAGCTGTACACTAAAATTTCAAACTTAGCACAGCCTCCTCCACGTTTGTGTTTCTTGCAGAGCTGTTTTAGCAACTGAAATAAAATCTGATATTTGTATTGGAAGCATTGGAAGTTAATTTCTTTGACATGAGGTTGTGGAGAGAGAGGGAGATGATGTAAGAATTCTGCCCTGCCACAGCCCTGTGGGGAGAATACGTGCATTAGAAGAGTGATGCAGCCCAAAACCCATGAATCTGAAATCACGAAAGATCTGAAAGTATCTCTTTCAGTATTCATATGCAATAGTAACTATGATGGAGAGAAGTTGTTTACGTTTAGGGATGAAAGATTTTAGGGAATATGAAAAGTGCTCTGTCAGCCCATGTAGAACTGTACTGGTCAGTTCTGCTTAAAACCATGGGTGATTAATTGTGGTTTAGAAATCCACAGAAACGGAATGTGAATCACCTCAACATCACTGCTGCTGCTGTGTTTAACCTCATACAGGAACAGAAAATTTGGTAGGTAGGGGACCTTTCTGATTTTACAAAAAGTGATTCACCAAAGAAAGCTTCATCTGGTGCATAGGACTTTTCAGTGCTATTTGAAGAGTGAAGATCATAAATGTGGGAGGAACATTGCCATTTTTCTGTATCTCAAAGATAATCGTTAACTTCCTATCCTAACATTTTGCAAATGTTAACATTTGCAAAACCAGTGGCTAGACAGCTTCAGAAGCTCAAGTCTTTTATTTAACTAGTATAGTTGGTATAGCAGAGATGCTATCAAGTTCTATCCATTGTTTTACAGGCACATCCCCATCTTGTTTTAGAGCCATGACCTTTAGGGAAGTAGTACCAAACTTCTAAACAGTCTAGTATGGAAGCTGAGAAAGTATGGTCTCAGCTGGTTAGGTGGGCTGAGATTGACCAAACTGCCAGACTCAGGGGATAGTAATCAATGGTTTGCGGGCTGGTAACAAGTGGGATCAACACTGGCACTTGTATTTAACTCTGTGACCTGACTGATGGCATAAAAAAATCATCTTCAGGTATGCTGAAGATGCTTTTAATTAAGGGCACTGACAGACAAGATGAATGGTAGCACTTCAGTGCACAGTGACCTTGAGATAGGTGAGGATTGGGCCAGCCAAACCCTCAGAAACTCAGTAAAGTACAAGATTCTACACCAGGATGAAATAACCCAGTGCATTTGTACAGGTGATAGGCTGAGGAGCAGCCCTGCTGAAAAGGAGATGGCATCCTGGTGGATGCCACACTGAGTAAGAATCATGAGTGCAAGGTCATCTCAGTATGGGAAACTGGCCTGCGTTGGAAGGAGCAGAGCCAGCAGACCAAGGAAGCCATTATTCCTTTCTAGTAAGGCCACACCTGGAATATTGCACCCCGTTCTGGATGTGGAGATATTGGAGAGTGTCCAGAAGAGAGCTACTCAAATGGCCAGGGGCAATGAGGACAGGCTGAGGGATCTAGGCTTGTTTAGCCTGACAGAGGAGTAATCTAATGACAGCCTAAAAATACCTGAAGGGTAGCTGCAAAGCTGGTGGAGCCAAATTCTTTCATGGTAGTGTTAAGTCATATAACAAGGGGCAACAGCTACATGTTGTAGCTGTGTGGTTTTGGACAGGACATTAGGAAAAAACCTTTTCAGGCAGTGGTTTAGCACTGGAACAGGTAACCTAGAGGGATCACAGTTTCTCTTCGGAGATTTTCCAAACTTTGCCAGGCAAAATCATGGCTGACCTGATCTAGTGTTGGTGACAGTCCTGCTTTGGGCAGGGAGCCAGGCCTCCCTTCCAACCAGAGCTTTTATGATGCTGTGATCTAAAGCTCACTGAAATCAACAGTGCTGCACAGTTCTTCCCCTTCAGTCTTGGACTGAGCTAATTCTCTGTTAGCTGGCATCCTGCATTACCTGAGAGCCAAACAGATATCAGGCTGAAAAGATGATATACTTGCTAAACACAACTGGAATTCTATATGCAAAAACGTAGCTGGAAGTCACTTCTGTCTCCCTCAATTAAAAGTGTTCCTCTGAGACTGTGTGCTGAGTTAAATCTCTAGCAGTGGTTTCTGGTCTCTTTCCAGATACAGGGAGAGGGCAGAGAAGGGTGGGAACAGGAGGTAGAGAGATTTTGAGGGAATCTGTCTGCAGTAGTTGATTTCCTCATTAAGGCACTGGTTCTGTTTGTTCCCACAGCCCTTGCCTCATTTTTTGATACGGGTTGTATTCAGATGCTGATGGCATACCCATCGTGTGGCTTACTCTCCACAGAATTGCCTGTAGGGCTATTACACAAGTTGCAGTATGAATGATGGAGGTAATAAGCATTTAAAATTAATATGGAAAGAACTGATTTTAAATTAGCATTCACCATTTTAGTTAGTTTTTCCTTTGACGTGACATGTCTCTCAGTAGAATGAAATGCAGCTGTCAATGGAATGTATTTTGTTTCATCAAAATCCATGTTCCTGTTAGCCAGGATTCTTGGTAAGTGATTCTTGAGCCAATGAAGACCAATGTTTTGCTTAACACTTCTGGTTGTCTGTAGTCAAATAAGCATAGTGTTAATTATTCTCAGTGCACCTCTGATATCAAGACTCTATTCTCTAACCTTTAAGTGTGCCAAAATTAAGAAGTACAGCCTTTCTTTCAGGGAAGCATAGAGCTGTCTCAGAAGTTTCCATCAACTCTGACGTTTCTTTTTAAAACTGTCCTTAAGCTAAATAAGGCTTCTACGTTTTCTGTGACATTATCTGGATGACTTTTATGTGCTTCTGTTTGAAGATCCAGAAAACGCAGTGATGATACTGTAGTGGAAAAACAAATCTGTTAGCCTGTCAAAACATTTCTTTAACAGTGCTAAAATTTTGCATCCGATAGCTTATTTGCTTTACATCGTTTCCTTTTTCTACATTAAAACAGACAAAGGTTATGAAAACATGAAGGCTTTCAGGCGGGAGCTCTGTTGCACAGATTTGTACAATGTGTGAACTCTGTTCAACACAGGTCACATGCAGATGAAGCCCGAGTTATACCTTCCTAAAACTTTCAGCAGAAAACCTACCCCCACCACACTCAACCGCTTTGGTTAAGATGCTTTTTCCTACTTCCTTCAGAGGGGAGTTCTCAGATGGTAATGGGAGGGCCACAGTGTGACTGTGTGCTCTTCCCTCTGTAGGACAGTCAGCCTTACTGTGAAAGGAACTTTTGTCCAACAGCTTCTGGTCAACTATAGAAGCTATTTTTGGATTCTCAAAGTTCAGCATCTCTGAGCTGTACTAATGCTAACTTCCATACCTGTGTGGAAAATAACTGATTGTCTGGTATTTATAGTGGAGAATTTGGCATCAGCAAACATGCTTGAAGCCATGTCTTTTAGGTTGCACACCTCACCTTGTATTTTTGACATCCTAAAGGATGCTAATATCTGGGGGAAGCAGTGATAAAACAAAGGATGTTTAGTTCAGCGAGAGGGATGTCTGTCAGGAGTACTTTAGTTATGGTTGAACCTGCCTCAAAGCTTGGGATGAGTAAGATGACCTTCTTAGCTCTATTTTTTGCTATGATCCTATGTTACCTCTCTAAGAAGGTAGTGGTGGCAATGCTTAGTTAGGCCTAGTTTCTTGCAAGTGCATCTCCTGTGAGTGACAGCTATTCTCGGTTTTTCTTCATCCAAAGACCACTAAACTACAACTTTAAGGTAGAAAATGGAGGCTGAAGGTAACACAGAAAAATCTTGTCTGAAGCAGGGCAGGAACTTTCTCCCAAAGCCAGTGACTGGAAGTTGGGTTTGCCTGTGAATACCGTAACACAAAATCCTACCCCTTTAAAACAAAGGAAACTGCAGAAGTAAGAGAGTGGCAGGGACAGTAAAAATCAACAAAGATAGGAAAGCAATGACAAGACAGTCTTCAGTAGGGGGAGCAGGGATTTGAAATTGGAAAGAAACCAAACCCTCCAGTAGTACTAACTGTCCAAGGTAGCCTCAGTAACCACAGTTATTTGCTGTCCAAAGTGTTCTTTTCTATTTTTTTTTATGTGACTGGGAGACTATGGGAACATGGATGGCAAAAAGAAACAGTCACAGTCTATAGACCAGTCAAAGAGGCAACAGTTGGCATTGGCATCTGGGACGTATACCTAAAAATCTCAGTGGCTGGGGATCCAGAGTCTTCTTGGATCACAAACCTCACTGATACTAAGAGAGGGGGCATGATATTGGTACAGCTGCTTTGTAAAACAAAGGCCAGGTGGTACCAAGATTTTTAGGAATCTTACTGTGGCATTCAGCAAAAGCTGGAATGAACTTGAGTGCTCTATTTAACTGTGTCTGTTAATATGAATAGGTCTATTACTAGAATAAAAGCCATGATACCCTTCAGTTTAAGGAGGTGTTCCTCACAGTACGTGTGCGTGCAGTAAAAGCTCATTTGTGGCAAGGGAAAGAATTCAAGTAAATGAATGTACTTAACAGAAAATATAAAATTATAAGTGGTATAATTGCCAGCCAAGTTTTCAGTAAGATCCTAAAAACTAGTGCTTTTAACCCTATTGAGAGGCAAGTTTTCTTCGAAGCAGCTGCATCCCCAGTGCTGTTTCATGCAGATCTTCCTTCATCTTCTCTTTTGTATCAACTGTAGCCCATATGGAAACAGAATAGTCCAGTTTTCAGGCATTCCTGTAGCATTTGAGGAACGGATCAAGTAAGAGCTGTATGACTGGGCAACAGAAGGAAGCATTGGACCTGTAAATCAAAGCTTTGGCTCAAGGGTAATAGCTCAAGGAAAGCTGGTGATTCCCTGTAACTGTGAAGTTCCTGGTACAAGCCTTATGTTCTGGATATAGATAACAAGAAACAACTTTTTTCAAGTAAACATAAATTACTGGCCTTATTTATCAAGACATATACCAAATATCTTGTCTTTTCAGGAAGAACGAGAGGCACAGGCTAAAGCTGATAAGATTAAACTTGCGTTGGAGAAACTGAAGGAAGCCAAAGTTAAAAAGGTGAGCCTTAAAATAGTGAAATGCTACCATAAGAGCTACCAGCTAAGTATCTATTATCATTCCTCTCAATAACAAACTTCTTACTAAAATTGCTAGGCTCTTTCATATTTTATCTGCAAATTGAGGCATCTGAAGATACTATGTAGAGCTGTCTTTGTCAAAGCCCACTGTTCTGATAGGTTGCTTTATAGAAAGTGGAATATACATAAAAACGTTGCTTACTTATTCTGTGCTGATTCCAAAAGTATTAAACTTTTCTTCTACAGTGGATGGGGATTTAGCTAATCCCAATTAAATTAATGAGGGTCGTCTTGCTAAATCTTTTGACAGCAGTGCAGCAATGTACAAGGATAATAGAAGTTATTTTAGACCAACAAATTGGAAAGCTTCCAGCTCGTGTCTGCACAGTGCTGCAGTGTCATGCAATTATGCCCGCTCATCCTAAGCCAGTGTTCCAGCTGAACTCAACAGAAGCTGCAGATGTTCAGTAACTCTGAGAAATGAATGTGAAGAAAAACAGTCATGACCTTTCAGTCTTCCTCAAATAGGAGATGGGAAGTGCTGGAGATCAGAGCCCATAGGGCTTCCCAGAAGAATTGAAGCTTCCAATAAATTTGAGGGTGTCCAGGCTTGAGAGGGTTCCCACAGAACGCTTTACGTTCATGTACAAATTCTACTTCTGAGAGAATGTGTTGGGAGGATTTCTCTAATGTTGTCTTTGGAAAGCTCTATAAATAAACTTTTGACTGCTCATTGGTCACCTCCTTTTCCTTGCAATGTTAGCAATTCTCCTTTGGGAGGAAACATTTATTTTGAAGACCTTTTTTTTTTTTCCCCACTTTTTATTTTTTTTTCCATCCTGAATATTTGGAACCATAGTGTAGAAGGAAGCTTAATCTTCTCGTGGCTGTGTCACTATAATGAATTACTATGTCATTCATGAATGTAAATTGACTAAAAAATTGTTAAGAAAACTGGTCTTCTCTCTTTTATGAAAGTGGAAGGCAGAAGCCAGGGAGGATGGTGAAAAGCAAGCTCACAGCCCTGGGTTTCAGGAGAGCAGACTTTGGCTTCTTCAAAGAGTCCCATGGGATAAGCTCTAGAGAAAAGAGAGGCCCAAGAAAGTTGGTTAATATTCAAGGATCATCTCCTCCAAGTCAAGGGAGTTCCATCCCAACGAATCAAGACCCACAGAGATGATTATGAAACTGGAGCATCTCTCTTACGAGGCTGAGACAGCTGAGGCTGTGTAGCCTAGAGAAGGCTCTGGGGGTATCTTGTCAATCTATAGAAATACCTGAAGGGAGGATGCAGAGGACAGAGCCAGGCTCCTTTCAGTGGTGTCCAGTGACAACCAGAGGCAAAATAGGCACAGACTGAAACACAGGAGATTCAATCTGAGCATCAGGAAGTGCTTTTTCACTGTGAGGGTGGCTGAGCGCTGGCACAGGTTGCCCAGGGAGGTTGTGGAGTTTTCCTCCTTGGAGATACTCAAAAGCTGTCTGGACAGGGTCCTGGAGAATGGGCTTTGTCAATCTATAGAAATACCTGAAGGGAGGATGCAGAGGACAGAGCCAGGCTCCTTTCAGTGGTGTCCAGTGACAACCAGAGGCAAAATAGGCACAGACTGAAACACAGGAGATTCAATCTGAGCATCAGGAAGCGCTTTTTCACTGTGAGGGTGGCTGAGCGCTGGCACAGGTTGCCCAGGGAGGTTGTGGAGTTTTCCTCCTTGGAGATACTCAAAAGCTGTCTGGACAGGGTCCTGGAGAATGGGCTCTGCTTGAGCAGGGGATTGGACCAGATGACCTCTGGAGGTGCAGCCAGGCTCCTTTCAGTGGTGTCCAGTGACAACCAGAGGCAAAATAGGCACAGACTGAAACACAGGAGATTCAATCTGAGCATCAGGAAGTGCTTTTTCACTGTGAGGGTGGCTGAGCGCTGGCACAGGTTGCCCAGGGAGGTTGTGGAGTTTTCCTCCTTGGAGATACTCAAAAGCTGTCTGGACAGGGTCCTGGAGAATGGGCTCTGCTTGAGCAGGGGATTGGACCAGATGACCTCTGGAGGTGCATTCCAATCTCAACCATTCTGTGATTCTGTGAAGAGAGAACACGCTTATTTTTAAGCAGTCAACTATGACCACATGAAAATACCCTTTTTCCGCAAGCATGTAGATTATGCATGTACTTCTCTATGATCTGCACTGTGGCTCAGTTGATTATTTTAAAGAGGAAGATACTTACAAGGGTTGGAATCAAAGCAAGTTTATGGCTTTTCTTATATTTGCTGTTACTTTTCAGAAATAGTGCAGATACTCTCTTGAGGATCATCACTCTCTGCTACTACCTTATCTTTAACAGAGATTGTCTCTATGGTACCAAAGCTTCTTATGCACACATTTTAAAATGAGGAGCTATTTAAACAAGACTATATGGAGAAGTCCTCCCAACTCACCAGTTTAGTTCCAGTTTCTATGTACAGATCCTGTAGACAATTTTTACTCTGTTTTCAATCTAATGGAGCATTTTAAGTACTTTCTTTATAATGTGTTTGCAGTTCTTTATCACGTTTTATGCACTTCAGTGTTTTCTTGCTTAGTTCTTCTCTGAAGAAAAGTGCACACTGTTTCTTTTTTAATAAATACTTCATAGTAATAGTATGAAGAAATAGTGAGTGTCTTAGGTGAATTTGGTCAATATAAGTAACTCATCTCTTTGTTTATTGGTGGGTGTTGGACTCCTGCCCATCTCAGTACAATCTGATTTCAGGTTAGTCTGTTTACATGGCAAGATTCTCCCATTCTTTTCTCATTTAAAACTAAACTTTCTGCATTTCTAGCTTGCATTAAGGGACACACTGTCCTTTTGTACTTGGTTTCCTTATCTAGCATTTTCCTTAATTGCACGTCTGGTAGATTTAGAGAAGAGATTAATAACTTCTGCATTTTCACCGTAGCAATTTCACCTTTCCTGAAGTCATGCACAGGACAAGGTTCAATTTCCTTTTTTGAGAAAATGTCTTTATTTTGCTGGTAATATAATGTGAAAGCTTCCAAGCTGTTTCACTCCCGCTCACTGTGGGACAGGGTGCCTTTGGATCAGTAATAACCTTCAGCCTTAATCTTTCTTATCTGTGTTAGCAGATTTAGACTACCCTTTTACTTGCTTTGGAAATTAACTGACTCTTCTGTGACTCTGTGCTCAGCTTGTTGTCAAGGTGCACATGTACGATAACAGCACAAAGTCACTGATGGTGGATGAGCGTCAGGTGACGCGGGATGTTTTAGACAATCTCTTTGAGAAAACCCATTGCGACTGCAACGTTGACTGGTGTCTGTATGAAATGTACCCAGAGCTGCAAATTGGTAAGTGGCGTAGTGACAGAGCATATAGCAAATAGATATAGTGCATCCTATGCTATTGGTAATCTTGAAAATATAAATAACTCCTATGCTATTGGTAATCTTGAAAATATAATTAATAATGTTTCTCCTGCCCTTATAGTAGACATCCAGTTTTGACTTTTTTTTCTGGTAATAATAATTACAAAAAAAAGACCCTCCTGAGGATAGTAAGATCGTACCTTTTATACAAGAAAAGCCTGGTATTGAAAATGAATAAACAAAAGTATATGTGGCAAAAATTAGTGTTAAACAACAAATGTTGCAACCTGAGAATTATTTTACAGCTATCCTGGACTATAAGATACTGTTTACCCTTCAAGCCATTACTTGGGGTTTATATAGTGCTTTATGTTTTCAGTGCATTGCAGAAATATCAGTTGCTAAACAAAATGTGTTATGTTGTTTGTGTTTTAAAAGTTACTGTGTACATGGGAGCTGGCCCTGAAGCTAATCTCATTTTGTGAATTTAATTAATTCACAAAATTTAGTTTTGATGGGATATACTGAGCCCTGCCCCAATACTGATTTTGTAGAAAAATGCAGTTTGGGTCCTTCCAAAATTACCTGTCGAATTAAGCTCAATTCCTTTTCCTTCCAAGGGGGGTTTATGTGACTGTTCAGCTACTTTACACAAGTGAATCCGCAGAAGAAGAGATCAGAGTTACCAAACCACAGCATACGCTATGGCTTTCCTGGGTGGAGGATCTGGGTTCAGATCAGCTCAGGAAGGGAGAAAGCTGACATGGGGTCTCCCACATCTCTGGTGAAGTGTTTAACTGCAGAGAAGCTGTGTGAAACATCTATCTTCACATCAGTTCTCAGTCTGTCTTCTTATTTCCTCTATTGTGCTATTTCTGTCTTTAAATATAGTTGCTTGAAACAAAACACTTTATTTCCAGTGTACAGAATTCTTTCTGCTGACAAAAAGCAATTTTTCATTTATTCTAATAAGTAAAAAGACAAGGGAATAAGGTTTTACTCTTTATTTTTCCAATTAATTAGCTGGAGCAAATATATAGCCCTCCAATCATACCACAAACCTTAAAAATCAAAAGCAAACAAAAGCAGAAAGCCATTGAGAGACATGAGTGTATCTGTCTACTTCTAGTGGGTCACTGTTTCCATCCTTTTCAGTCTTCAGTCAACAGCACAGAGATGCAGGAGGAATCTAGGAGCATGTGAGAGCTACAGAAGGTATCTTGTGTAGCTGATTTGCCATTCCACATGACACAATTTTCACGTGGTTTTGCTCCCTTCTGTGCAGTAGAAGAATAGTGCTGGGCTGTCCAGCTCTGAGTGAACATCAGCTAATAATTACATTCTTACCCAGGAATTTCTGCAGCCTCAGGAGAGGGGAGAGAGAATGTTGGAGTGTCTGACATTACCTTTTCTGTCTCTCCAGAAAGGTTTTTTGAAGACCATGAAAATGTTGTTGAAGTGTTATCATACTGGACTCGAGACACTGAGAATAAGATTCTGTTTTTGGAAAAAAGTGAAAAATATGCCTTATTTAAAAATCCCCAGGTAAGCGAATATGGTATTTGGATAAGAGTCTAAAATTATGTCATTTAGTCTGTATGCTGCCTCTTGCAGTAATTTGGTTTCAGCTCTTGTCAGTTTGGAATTTGTGAAAGCAAAACTTGTACTTTCAACAAAAAACCCAGAATGTTGAATGCAAGGATTTGAAAATTAGTGCTTTCTGTTCTTTTCAGATACTATTCTAAAGTCCCATCTGCAGTGGTAAAAAAATGAAGCATGTAGTTCTCCACTGCTACCAGCTGTTGCCTAGGCACAGCTCTCAGAACTGGGGTGAGATGGCACACCTGTGAAAACCTGGCCTTTGTCATTATTACAGTTTCTCGCCTGTTTCTACTGATGAAAATCAACATTTCCTTGAAGGTCCAGTTTTTGCCAGTTGTACCTGAAGCTTCGTAAAGAATATATGCTGAGTACTACAAAGAGTTTATCTGTATTGCATTAAGACTAGGGAGAAAATTGGGGGAACATTAACTTCTGCACACTGACTTTGTAAAAAGAGGGTCTGCATACTGAATTGTGTCAAATTATTTAGGATAGGTGTATACACAAGTGATTTATTTCTTGTGATATGTGGGCAAAGCCATATTTACAAACACCCTAGCATGCACAGGTGATGGATTCCGGAGCATGAGATCTTTTCCCCTTGTCAGTGGTCTGTTAGCTCGCTGAGCATCTGGTTTGTTCCCAAGAGCAGCGAGAAGAAAATGAGCAATTCAGCATTGCCGAAAAAAATAAGCCAAATATATAATTTGGCAGCAAATCTCACCAAGCTGCTCATTAGGAAGTGTTTTTTTTAGAATGAGCCAGCGTTTCAAATAAAACCTGCAGAGAGGAAGTTTCCTTCATTGACATAAGAAGTATCCACAGTCAGGGAAAGAAAACTTATCCTGCAGTGTACATGGATTGATGCTAATTTTTAACATGAAACAGCAAAGCCAGGTTTGGAAGTAAAACATACGTGATGGCCCAAGATGTCATACTTTCTAATACACATAAACATACCTAGCAGCAGAGGTTTGATTGTACATTTGATTCAGACAATAGTAGTGTTATTTGGGCAAGTGGCTTAGGGCAAGGCTGTGAACCATCCACAAGATGTAAATCTTTGAGGAAGATTCTGGGCATTTTGATGGCAATAAACCTTAGAAATAAACATGACCTAAACCAAAACCAGAATAAGAGTGTAGCTGTGTCCTCCCATCTCAGGACATGCTGAGCTTGATCTGGACTTGTCTGCAGTCCTTCAGCCCCTCTGTGATAAGCTCTGAAATGAGCAGCCTAAGGAAACTGGATCAGTTATGGCTATCACACTATTGAAATATTTTGCCAGTAATAAACTGTAACCATCTGTCAGGCTTAATAAGTACAGGCAGACAGAATAGTACAGTCATATTGGCAGTTTGTCTTTTTGGCAGAAAATAATCAGTATGTACAGACAGAGCTCACGGTAGATAATGAGACGTGGTAAAAGACATGATCTGGAGTGAGACCCTGAAAAAGTAAACCAAGCAGAAATGCTGTGCTGCTGGGGGGCCGGGTGTGTGATTACCTAACTAACTGCTTACGGAAATGATGGTGTAACCAATGGGAAACTGAAATCCAGTGCTCTGATACTGTGTTCTCAGTATATTCAGCCACCTCCTAACTCATTTTGTGAGTACAGAAATTGCAAAATGCTCTTTTTGACACAGCCAGCGGTGGGAACGCAGCAGCAATTGGATTCCTTGTTGGTCTTAGTGCTTATTCTGTCAGAGGTTGTCTGTGGAGATCTTCCAGTTTTGTAACTTGCAGATATTCTTCTGGAAAAAAAAGAGGCACCTTCCAAAGGTGGCTAGGTGCCTACAATTTATTCTTAGACAAATTAGTGGTACAAAATTTTCATTACAGCAGTTTGATGCAATTAAATGCTTTTAAAAATCTTATAAAGACGTCCAGATGCATTGCTAAAACAAATGAACATCTGGAGAAGGTCTGTGACCAATGCCAATATTCATTGCTTCTTTCTGTGAACTAGCTGTATACCTGGTATAGATTAAACACCAATTAATTAAACATGTTTCATTTTCTAAGGAGGAACTGAGGTTTTGAAATGCAGGATTCATCCTCTATGTCTGTGCTAGCAACGTGCTAATGCCAGTGGCTCTTTTTGAAGATTGTCATTCTTGTCATGCAGTACTCTAATGTTTTTCTGTGGCTGTGTTTCTGAAAACAACTTTTTAAAGTATTTGGAGTACATTTTAGAAAAAAAAATCTGAAAAATCCTCAGGTGTTCCCCTCTTCATGAAGACAGGCACACATTTGCTCTTTCCTCACTGTGATATAATTCACCCTGCAGGGAGCTCACAGTAAAAGACCTTTCCATGGATGGCATCAGTGACTCAGCTACAGAGGTGGAGCGTCACAAGCCTGTGACTAAAGAATGAAACAAAAATACATATTGGTACATGTGCAAATAAAGAAAACCTTTATAAGAAAGGTGATGCTTTGTCATGTGGTTGAGTGATAACGGTGCTTGACTCTTTAAAGGAAAGGTTGTCAGGTCTCAGCACCTCTTTTCAAGAAGCTTGAAAAATAATTCTCAGCTAAAAGAGACTCTAAAAAAAAAGAAAAATGTAGGAAATGCTTTTGCTTTATTTAAACAGTGTTATTTGTAGCTGAATCTAAAATCCTGACTGTAAGTGCTGGTCACACTCCTAGAACACTATATTTGATATTTTTTTCTTACGTGGGTTTTGATTTCCTGTGTTTTTATTTTGCTGGTACAAGCAGACGGGATGAATTCAAACAGTACAGGTGACATCACATGCATGTGGGGCTTTTTTGGTTTTGTTTTTTATTATTTTCAGATAGCATTTATGAAAATTAATGAAAATCTGTACAGTGAGTACTTTATGCTTCTGCTCCCTCATATGTAAGACAAAAGCAAGAGCTATACTTTCCAACAGAGAACCCATACACTGAATTGACACTATTTCTTCTGAAAAGCAAGAGTACTAAACAGTATGAGAAGGAGGTGGAGTAGGAATTTGTAATGTCTTTCATAATAGGACAGTTTCACACTTCAATATTTATTTTGAAGTCAGTGACATTGGGCTAGTATCCACCAGGAGATGGTTTTGTTTTTCACCACCTTGGCCACCTTTATGAATCAAGGTTTTTCTTTTGTCTCCACCGTTACCCAGTGAAGGAAATAGAAGGGTGACAGGGAGCCTGATTGTTAAGTGAGCTAGCAACTGTGCAAAGAAACAGAAGTGAAAAAAGGGAAGTGTTTTCACCATACTCCCACCGTTTAGTACTTAGAATTTCTCTATTAGTGTATTTCAGACCATGGTATAGTTTCTAGTTGAAGTTAATACTTCAATGAATGTGTTTCTTTTTCTGACTTGAGCAACCTGGTGTGGTGGGAGGTGTCCCTGCCCAGGGCAGGGGGGTCGGAACTAGATGATCTTTAAGGTCCCTTCCAACCCAAACCATTCTGTGATTCTATGACTTGGGACTGTAACACAGAAACTGTCTTTACACATTTGAACCATTTTGCAGGTGACTTTCAATCAGCACATTAAGTGCTTTGCTGTTAGCTACATCCTAGCTTATGTACATCTTTAATTTGTTTCCTGTTCTCCTCTCTTTGATGCTGAAGACCATCATCCTTAAGGCATGAAAAGTCAGCTGTAGTGATTTCTTGAAACATTATAAAATCAAGTAAACGAAGTTGAAAATCAGGTCTTTTGGGGCTTCAAAAGAGCTTTGCCTTTAGATTTATTTATTTACGTTTGTGATCTTCAGAGCAATTATAGGTATCTTCTAATATTTATAATGTAGGACACCCAACATGATATGGGTTGCAAGTATGACCGTGTTTGGGTTTGTATTTTTCTGCACAAACCTCACTGCATTCGGTACTCAGTGGCACCGCACTGACATGGGATGTGAGCTGGCCAGAACTGCACTCCTTCTGGGTGCAGTTTGGATGGGCATAAAGAGGCAGCTCGTTGCACAAAGAAGATAGTGAGGAGTATGGGGCAGCTGTCGTTTGCTGCACTCTGTCTGCTCTGTGCTGTTGGGGACCCTGCAGTCTTTTGGAGTAACAGTTTCAATAGCTTGAAAGCAACAATACAAGCTCAGCGGATGGGAAGCAGAGGGAAGGTGCTACCTTGAACCCCTTTTTTTATTTTTTATTTTTTTTGCTGTGTAATGACAAGTAGCTGCTGTATTCCAGCTTGGATGGGGCTGCGTATGAAAGAAGATGAAAGTATGAAAAAAGATGTTTCATTTAGATTTTATTTTATTATTTTTTTTTTTTTATTTTACAAATGTAGAGACATAGAACACTGATCAGAGAGTTTGGCAGTGCAGTAGTTAAAGCTACTGTTCCTACCATGATCTGAGTTTGGTTTGCTTACATGCCACCAGAGCTGTTCTTTGAAACTCTTGAAAACATCTTCTGCCTTCCACTGTTTGAGAGTTATACAGAGGAGAGAGGTACAGCCTGATTTTTATTTTTTATTTTTTTTAATCTGCCTTTCCACACAAAAGGAGATGACTGGATCCCTAAGCTTAATCTTTACAGGATTTTCTTGCGTGTGTATGGAATTTCCTGTTAGTGTAAAGCTATAGATGGGTCATCAGCCACTTTTGCCACTGTCCTGCATAAGCACAGGGAGAAATGCTGGCATAATGTCTCTTCTGGATGGCACACCTGGCTGGCAGTACATGTCAAAACTGCCACTGTAGCTCTGCGTTACTCTGAGTCAGGCAGAATGGCATTGGGAGAGCAACTGGCTTTGTGTCAGCTGCAGCCCATCTGGGTGTGTAGGCACAGGGAGTAATTCTGCAAAAATCCTCAACTGCTCATCTCTGCAGCAAATAACCCAAACAGTGCAAACAATGCAACCACAATGACAAAGCGTGTCAGCATACTTTGGTTTGTTTGCTAAAATAACCCTTTATATTTGCTTTCTTATATTATCAGCCCAAGAGGATGAATCCATCCTGCTAAGTAAGCTCAGCTCTCTATCAAGAGAAAGACATTGTCTTTTGAACATAAAAAAGTTAATTCTCAAATCTGCAGATATATGGAGAGAGCTGCTCTGTAGCCACGTCTTGTCCCATTGATGACCTGACATCCCAAACCAAACATGCTTTTCCCAGTGGTGTCCTCAGACAGGAAAGAGCTTCTTTTAATCGTGACCTTTGACTACTAGACTTGGAATGACCTCTTGTGGACACATGTGGTTTGCCTCCTCTAGGATGAATGCTTCGAATCAAAAATAGGAGACCACACAGTGATAAAACAAGTTCACTGTACAGTCTGCTCCCCAGGTTTTTAGCCACTGACAAATAATGAGTACCATGTACTTCCAGATTTCAGGGCAAGAGACATAAAGGAGGTAATCAGTAATAAATGAAATGTGTGTTGAAAGGTGCAAGATGACAGTGTACATCTGTGTAACGTTGGTTCAGGTGACGGAGCCCTGTTTCCCTAATGAAAAAGCTGCGTTGTTAGAGGTCCGGCATGGATATCATTACAAACTTTCTCTCTTTACCATTGATTATGTCAGTACAGGGTGGTCTGTGTTTCTGCTAAATAAATGCCAGATGCCTGAATGGGAATCAGTTGTAATCAGAGGAGCTTTGTTTTCTTATTATCAGTGCACTGAAGGCTGACTGAGCCAGATGAATGTTCTCCTCACCGTTAGTAAAGTTGATGAGCCAGGCCTTGTTGAGACAGTGATAAGGTGTACTTACCTTGATAAACATTGTGTATTTTAGGGGTTGCTCTATGTGTTTATAATGATTTATAGAAGGCGGCGGCTTACAGCTTGCACGTCCCTCTACTTTCCAAATCCATCCCAAAGTCTGGAGGCTCAGCCCAGCCTAACGGTGCCCTCTGAGGTTTCTCTTCATACCCCCATCAGTGCAAAAGTGAGTGTGCCAGCATCGAGGCAGCGGTGCTGTGACAGTGCTCCCTCTCAAGAGCTGTTGCACACGTACAGAGGACTTGGCTGCTCACAAGGGCTTCTTTTTTCCCAGTGGGATGAGTGGAGCATTGTCACCTGGTCAGCCCCATGGGTTTGGATTGCATGGGCAGGCATCGCTGTATGGCTTGTACTGAGAACACACTTCTAAGCGGGTTTTGTTTTGAGCTGGTTTGGGTTTTTTCCGTTATGAATACTGTCTTCAGATGGAGTCACGAAGCTGTGGTCCTTAGTGTTTGCTTACCTTCATTGGTGGGCTAAAAATGTGCCCAGGCAGTCTGGAGCCAGCTATGTGCTGCTGGATAATCCAGAGAAGGACCTTGCTCTGTTCCTGGCATAACTGTCTGTTGTATTGAATGTTCAAGTTCCTTTTCTTACGTTCATACCACAGACATGGCATCAGCATAGCCCAAATTGCAGGTGGCTGTGGTTTTGATGTCCCCTGTCTGACTTAAATGTGAACTTTTAAGAAAGTATTTTCTAACAAAGTGTTTTTGAGATCATCCACACCCCTTCCTCTCCTGGTGCCCCTCCAGAAAACGTCTGCAGTGAGGCTTGTGTTCTGGCAGACAGCTGTTTGCTTGAAAAAGAAGATGTGGTTGTGTGGAAGAGAAGGGTTTCACTTCAGATAAACCTCATTTTGCTGTAAACATGGCATGCTGGTAGGGCAGATTTACTGCTTGTTTGTTTCTTTCTTATACTGTAGCAACAGCATGTTCCTTCATTTACACACTTCTCATTTGTCTTTTGGTAATGTTTGCATTTGTGTTGCAGTTTAGTTGTTGTGGAGTTCTAGGCATGTAAAAATGTTGCCACGTTCTCATGGTCTTGAGACATGAAAAAATGGGGAGAGATAAGAAGTCACATAAAGTCTTAGTTTTCTTCCTACGGAATTGCTGAAGAATTACAGAATTAGGAGTAATTTTTAAGTAGACAGCTTTCAAAATTTGTCAGATTTTTATGATTTTGTGTGTTTCCTAAACAATCGGTGTTTGCAGAACAAAGGGCATAAAACAAACTTAGCTTGGTGACTAGTTCCAGGCAAATCAGTGAGACTGTCCTATGCATCAAGTATTTTCCAAACCCAAGCTCCTCTTCTACGTGCGCTTTTATGTAGAAAATGGTAAAACATGAGAACTTTGCGTGTTATCATTCTGGCCTCGAGCCCATGGATCCAAATGCTACTTGATGCATGATGTAGCTCCTTGATGTACCTGCTTCCTTGGTGCCCAGCTGCCTTACTGCCTGCTTGCTGTTGAGCAAAGCCTCAGCACGTGCTCCTGCACACGGGTCCCAGCCTGCTCCAGAGCTGCCTTCCCTGCTGGAATTTGCATGTATGTCCGAGTGCTGTCCTTTTGTCCGTCTGTACAATCCAGATGGGTGCAAAATTGGCTTTGCTGTTTAACAGTGGGTGAAATTATTTGTACTGGTAACTGTGCGTGAGGCGCTGTGCTTCCTTGTTTGCAGGGGCAGACAGGGCGCTGGGTCCTCTGGGGGCGGCTGCAGCTTCACAGCCCTCTGTCACAGAAACAGAGGGTCATTTCAAAGTGTAGGTTTTTACTTCATTAGGCAGGAGTGTATGTGCCAAGATACCGTGGTGATGATTTCTTCCGATTTCTTCTAGATTTTTGAATACCTCCTTCATTGCATAAAAATACTTTGCAGAACATGAACAGGGGCTTGCAAGTAGAAAGCAGTGACTTTGAATAAAGGCTTTAGCACATAAGCACTTTTATTAAAAAATAAGAGCTGAGTTACATCCAGAGTGCAGATATGAAGCGTGCGAATTACCGAATAGGATTGTTAGGAAAAATGCTTTCTAGCCTTTTGATACTGCATTGTATTCATCCATATATCAGCATGCAATAAAATGTTATGTTCTTTACTGCCTGTAATAATATAGGAAGTGGTGAAAATTGAAATGATAAAATCAAACCCACTGATCCAGAAAAACAGCCAAAAGTATAAGCCAATGTTTTTAAAACTTTTTGGAGGCTGTATATACATAGGCAAAAGTAATTTTGTATTACTTCTGAATTATATTCAAAATAAAGAATTAAAACTCATGAGCAGGCAGCTGAGATTGAAGTTTTCTGTAAGAAGAATTCATAAGCATCTGCCTCTTGCATCTGCTGGCCTGGGTTCTCAATGTTGAAAGACCGAGTAACTATTGAATGGGTTTTTAGTGATCTAGTTACTTGTATTGCTGTCTTTATAATGAACATCAATTCCTTTTGTGTCTTAATCAGAATTTCTACCTGGCGAACAAAGGGAAGAACGAAAGCAAAGAAATGAATGATAAAAACAAAGAGGCTTTACTGGAGGTAAGCCAGCTTTCAAGGGTAATGATGCAAATGTCACCAGAACTCTGCCACCATTTGCATCTTGCTCTGCAACAACAGCATTGAGTTCTTTGTGGGCAAATATGTAACAGGAAGTTCTGTGATGGTTGGTGTCTTTGTGTCTAAGGTTTAACATGTGGATTTTCCTCTGCGTCTGCTGCTCATCATTAAAAATGCAGATTGTATCCCCTATCAGAGAAATTAAACGATGGAGAATTATTTTGTTGTTATAGACTCCAATGCCATGAAATGTTTTTACTTAGTGTTTCTATGAAGAGTAATGCTGGGATAACAATAAAAGCAATGTTATACAAATATGAATAAAAGAAACAGCTGTGCCACATCCTTAGGCCAGCCCTTGTGTCTTTATATTATTAGTGAGGCTGATCATTAGCAAACAATTATCTTTTGGGTTAGAAGTAGATATACTCCAATTATTGGCTGTACTACAACAGAATAAGAACCTTTGCACTTTTCCAGAAAGTCTGTTTAGCCTCATGCTTTCCTGCTGAAGTTTTACTTCAGTTGTGCATTTGAGAGAGAAAAATCCAGAGTTATATGAAGGAGGTTATCACAGTTCTCCTGGCAAGTGTTTTGACTTCAGTAAAAGTTCCCAAAGGAAATGCTGTTGTCAGGTGACTGAGGATTCCCATTTCAAAGTTAGTGCATCTCATGAAGGCACCAGATGTCAAACAGTACAAGTGCTGGTAAATTCTAAATTAGAACATTAAGTGATAAGTGTGTTCGTGCTAAAAATTACCCAACAGTGGGTCCTTCAAGCAAAGAATGAAGTATATTTGTTTAAACAGTGTTTTTAATGCTAGCATGTATTTCAAAGTGAAAGCAGAGGTTGAGGGGGGATTTTTTTCTTCAGCTGGTTTTAAAGCTCTATAAGCAGTCTCTAAAGATTCTCTCCACAGAAGTATTTCTCTACAGAACCTTTACATACAGCAGTAGAGAAAAAGCAACAGCAGCAGTACCAACCATTCTGTTTTATTGCCTTCACTAAGCACATACATGTCTAGTTAAAACCTTTTGTACGTTTTTACTTGACCCTTTAGAGAATGAAGGTTTTGCGAACCTTCTTTTCCAGTGTGAGCACCCAGCTTGCACAGCTGATTTACCACATCAGCTTGGAAAGGTTTCCTTTGCCTGTCTAAGGTGTTCATCTCCCTGGTAACTACTTTCCCCATGTTCATATGTTCACCATGACAGGAAATGTATTTTCAAAGGGAGCATTTTTCTGCTATTTATTAATAGGGTTGTGCTTAAGTCAATTTATTTTGTGTATTATTATTCTTGTTGCACAGGAAAGCTTCTGTGGGACATCTGTCATTGTGCCAGAGCTTGAAGGGTTCCTTTATTTAAAAGAAGATGGAAAGAAGTCCTGGAAGAGACGTTATTTTCTTCTTCGAGCTTCTGGAATTTATTATGTACCCAAAGGAAAAACCAAGGTCAGGAAGCCAAATAATCCTTTTAGCAGTAAAACAATTCATGAAGGTGAAAGTGAAGAACTCCCAAGGTGACATTTTTAGAGCACTGTCTGGTGCATCTAAGAGGGTTGGGGTTTTTTTGCTTTAACTTTGACTACACCACTTGTGCAAATATTGGAACATAGTCACTGAATCCTGTCACGTTTCTCTCCTTTTGATTTCTATGGATAGATAAAAGCCGTAATGAAATAGCACTCCTTCGGAAGTCAGTAGGAGAAAGAAAAACAGCACGGCACCTTTGAGCTGGTGTTATGCTGCCAAAATGCTTCACTGTTATATGGGTTCCCTGTGAAAGAATATTTTGAAAGCTCTCAAGTAAACTCATTTCTTATCACAAAAACGGTGGAATTTTACTTTGCTTGATATTCACCTTCTGTGACAGTAACCAGCACTCAGAAACACTATACATTTTTTCCTACAGTGATCTTTACCTAGAGAATGCATTGTGCCTTTTAAGGATTTTTAAGACTGCCCTTTGTGTAGGAAGGAGTGAGACAGAAGCATCCACCTGACCGAATCAAATGCACTGACATTTAGTATTGCAAAATATTTAAAGAGTCTGAATTGCCAGCACTGGAGAAGGAAAGGTGTCCTGGACATGTTGCACGTAATGGTGCCTGGCTTCTCATTTCCACAGTGATGAGGTAGAATGGTGGCTTCTGGGACTGGTGGCTTTTTTATTTTTTTTTGTATGCTGAATACCACTTCTGTTACCACTTACAGCTCTGCTGATGCTTCATATTTGAAAATCAGGTGCTGCTGATAGAACTTTACTGTTATGATTTTGCTGTGAAACTTAGCTGTTCTGCTATTCCCTGACTAAATTACAAAGAAAAAAAAATTGATAGCTTGTAAAGGAATGCCATGTTGCTGCTCCAGTAACCTGTGTTTATAACCAAATCGTAGTGAAACACAGACCTAGATTACCTTGCTACTTTCACAGCAATTTATTTTGACTTTACCTGACCAAACACAGACCTAGATTACCTTGCTACTTTCGCAGCAATTTATTTTACCTGACGCTGAGATAATGGCTTTCAGTCCTCAATCACATTGCACACACACACATCCTATCTATTAGGAACTAGAATGATATTTGGAAGGCACTTAAGGTATGAGAGTTCATCCCATGTCAGGGTGGTATGAGGAATGCAGGTGCATCTTGCTGCAGTCATTCAGTTATGGGTAGAGCTTTCACTGAGGTATAGAAACAAACAGTTGGGGGACAATAGTATCTCAGATGCTGCAGCTGTTTTTAAATTCATCATGTTTTCAGTCGTTACAAAACAGCAAAGAAGTCTGGCATACCTTTGGTCTTTCATGTTGGCTGTAAAATACATTTCAAATGTGAAAATACAGGGATGTGTTCAGGTAATTGTACACACCAACCAACCACACATGCCAACACCAAAGGTGGTTTTTGTTGTTTGGGGTTTTTTTTTTTGTTAACAAGCTTGTCAGCACTGCTGTCTTAATTTCTTTCTTCAGCTTTATTCTACTTATATGCCATTTAATAACATGCTGGGTCGCAAAATGACAGAATCATAGTTGCAGATACAATTTTAAAATTTGTTTGTGTTAATTGCGTTGCTTTGTCATGTTAATATTGCAGAAATACTAGCAATAAGTGCCTTTGTCTGTTACATAAAAATTTGTTCCTTACTTACAAGAAAATAACAGCTGCATTCATATTGGTCTTAATTGCTGTTACCTGTTTGGTAAAGGAAAGGAACAACTCATTATACTGCATGGATTTGAGCACTTTTAGGAACTTACTATGTTGGAAAATCCTAGGTCCACACACGAAAATGACAAAATTCCTGACATCAGCTTCAGGGGAGACAAAGGAGAGAGAGAAGCCCTGTCTGTACCCAGTATAGAGTGTTTCCTCTCCCCACAAATCTTACTTGCAAACTCAATTTGTAAATAGCCCAACTCAAGGGCGTATTGTAATGAAGGTTTTAGTAATAATGAGAGCAGCATAAAACAATCATCATAAGCGGAAATGTAACCCCATTCTTAGGGGTAGAGAGGGTTTGTGGGTTTTTATTTTCTTTTTTCTTCTTTTCACAATTTCCTCATTTCGCAGTTTAGCCAACAGTGGCCATGTGACATGGACGTTTTTGCATTTCCACTCAAAGGGTTGCAAAAGTTATGCTTTGCAGAATTCTGCACTGAGGAGTGTGCCAGCAACAGAAACCTTGTTACTTTAGCAACATACTGTGAATAAGCAAATAGTATATAAACAAAAAAGGAATGATGCCAGGAAATGTGAGAAAATTCAAAGGAAAACAGATGAAATGTGTGCTTGTTTCGTGATGAGATTTTGTTAGTTACATATACCAAAGAAAAAAAGCTTGCAAAAGCAATTTAGATCCCCAAACATTCAGAATTATAAGGGTGTGGTTGCGAGGCCTCTATCTATTTCACTAAAGTTATTTCTTACCATGGTGTTCTGTGTGGTCTTATTAGCCTTAAGTCAAAATCTCCACATAAAGGACAGCAAAACGTTGCACTGTGTTACATATTATTCCTAATACGTACTGACCCTCTTCCAATTGTTAGTTTAAGAATGCACACACTTAAAGTTCATTTTTCTTCATTCAACTTCATGATAGTTAAAAAAATAAAAAGCATTGGAATTCATGCACTAGAAAAAAAGTCCTATTAATGAGTTGCACATCAAAATCCAACTTGTTCTAACAATGATGTGCTTGGTTTTCGTTTTGCAGACATCACGGGATCTGGCATGCTTCATTCAATTTGAGAATATGAACGTTTATTATGGTTCTCAACACAAAGTGAAATATAAGGCACCTACAGATCACTGCTTTGTCTTAAAGGTAACGTACTGGAAAAATAAGTTCTGCAAATGTCATACACAGTTTCTTTTATTATGTAAACACGTTTAAGTTTGATGCTCCAGGGACCCTGTTTTCTTCTTTGCTTCATTGTTGATCAGCAACATACCTTTAGAACCTTCATTTTAAGGACTGGTAGTCCTGTAATGTGTGTTTACACTGCATTTATGAAGCTGTCTTCAAAACAAGGCTGACTATGCTTCCAGTCACTGACAGTTCAGGTGACTGGACACATCTGGGCAAATGGCACTTGGTGCAGATACATGATGAGAAGTTTGGCAGTCCCAAACATTGACGTTATGAGTGTGTACCAAAAAGTATGCCCACTTTATATTTGCAGTGTAGTTCATACCTGTTGAGTGGTTTGTTGAACTGAATTGCAAAATCTTGCAGGAATAGACATCTCAGAGAGTGTATCTTATTGCACAACTATTTGTGGCAGGAGTACAAAAGATACTGTTCATCCACTTGTGAAAAATCAGTGCTTACTGTTGAAGTAAGTATCTCCTTGCTGCCTCTCCAGGTAATAGCGCTGCAAATAGGCTGGGAATTCTGCATTCCTTTCAGGAAAGGAAAGGAAGCTCAGGCTTTTCACATAGTTCAGGTAACAGAAAAACCTTTGAGGTAGCAGTAATTAGGCCTTGCTTGTTTTCTGTCATTAATAGAGATTTCAGAATACAGTGCAATTACTGTGTACAATACAGGAGATAGTCTTGTTGCTGCTTTTCTATTTAAAGGCCTGCAGTGCGAACAAGATACTAGAAAACACAGTATCTTGCCATCTCAAAAAAATAGTACAGGAAACATTCACATCAGACGTCACTTGTAATACCACATTTCTGGCTGTACCTGCTCACTTACAGCACTTTTTTTATTCAGTTTCAAAATGTCTGCTAGTCTAATTTACACATGGCCAAGCAGAAGTGGTTTATAGACCCAGACATTTTCTGAAGCAGATGTATCTAATTAACACAGATGAGCAGTTTTAATACTATAGTTGTCTGCAAAATGCTTTGCAAAAACCACTTCATCCATTTTGTAAAAGAGGGTGAGCCTTCTGAAGTTCACAGGTAAGCATTATTTCTGAAAAATACAACTTCAAATAAATAAAAAGAAAAGGAAAAGGGGAGCTGATTTAAAAAATAAGAGGAAATTGATTTTCTAAACAGATGACTGATCACAGAAATATCTGACTAATTTAATAACAGTTATTCACATTCTGTTCAGATGAAAATAAAAGCATGATTTTTGAAATGTGTGTAGCAATGTGTTCAAGTATTCACAATCATTGGAAAAAATTTTAGGACTTACTGCCATCATTTGTGAAAAAGAGGTATGCTACAAATAAGAACGTACACCCCCAAAAAAGTCACAACTCGACTGAAATACTTGCTTTATTGGATGTGGGATCTTAGCACTGTACCCTCAAAGTGAAATGTGAAGACCAAAAACTCCCTAGGGAAAGCTTGATGTGTAATAGGCTTATAAATGTCTGAAACCTACTTAGCAAAACTGTTTGCTCTGATGCTTCTAAACTGTGTGTGCGGTATACTAGAATAAACATCATATCGATAAGATCGTTATATCTGTGCAGCACTGCTTAGTGATGAATAGATACAGTGATTGTTCTTCATTTTAATTCCCACAAGTCAGCATTGTGTAGATTCCTGACTGGCTCAGTTTCAGACTTGGCTTCTTTTAATAGCTGTCTCTTGTGGTGGCAGGAGTTGGTCAGGAAGTATGAGCAAGTATTGATATTTTCAAATCTGTTGTTTCAAAAGTGGAAGCCTCACACTTAGAGTGTCTTTCTGAGGGTGAAGCAATGGGGAGTTACATATTTATTACAATTTCTGTACATTAGTTTGAATTCTGTATATACCTTTTTGAAGGTGTGCAGCTTAGATGAGTTTTGTCATATCCTTCTCTTGGCTTTGGAGGTTGTAGCTGAGGATGTAGTGCATCTTGAGATCTGTGGCTGAGGGAAGAAGCAAAGTTAAATTTTGGTCTCTCTGATTGGATGCTTAGTGACACAAAAGTGTGTGGACAGGAACACAGAGCCATTTGTTACACTGAGTCACATTTTGTTCCTGTCTGTTTTCATATGGAAATCTCCCAGAAGAAAATACCTCTCTTGCTGGGAGAAACTCATCCTGAAATGCCAAAGGAAAACAAACTGTCATCCTTGAGGTATTTCTCATCCTGTCATAGTTTGACAATAAAGTCCTCAAGATAAAATGACAGTACTTTTGCAGACAGCTGCAGTGAGCAAAAGGCAATAGATTTAACAGGTAAACATTCGTGTTTGTTTTACTGGCAACCTAGTAATGTTGAAGGAATTTGGATGCCCAGCTTAGTCCAAGCCAGATGGAAATTCCTCCACAGCCAAGGCTGCACTGCTGTGTCTTAGCTCTTGCATTCCCCAGTGTGTGCGTTCCCCGGACAGAGCTCTGCAGAGATTGTCATCCAGTTACTTGTTTGTGTTGGCTGCAGATTATCTGTCTTTAAAGCAAATGGGGGAAAAGAATTGGAAGAGTAGCAGCCATAGCCTGTCTTAGCTGTTCACTGAGGATGGCTGTAAATCAAAGGAGATTTTTGCATTTTAGAAAACAGGTTAGTCTGCAGCCCTTATTAGCTCCAGCAAGTTGTAATATCACTTGGAAAGATTTTGAATAAAAGCACTACTTTTTTTTTTTTTTTAAAGAATTGTTGCTTTCTGAGGACCCCCTTAGGAACTGCTGTGTCAAAACGGTGAGCAGTCATCAGCTAAGTTACTTGCTCTGCTGTCTTTCAAACGTAACAAAAGAAACTGCCCAACTCAGGGGCAAGCAACCAGCTTGTACTTTATACTGCAGGAGAAAAGCAAGGACTTTGCAGCTGCAGCAGTATCTTGCTTCTGTGATAGGTGGAAAATCCTGCTGAATTCAGAACCAGACATGGTTTTCCAGCTTTGAGCATTGAGTCGAAAATACACTGTATTTATTTCTGACTGGTTACACTAATTGGTATCCTTACTGCAAGAACAGAGAAAATGCTCTTTGCTCATTCAAATGGCAGCAAATGTCCAGTGAGGTGGGGTGATTTGGAGTTGAATACAGCCTCATGCTTGAAGGAGGTATCTCTTCTTTTCCTCCAGTCCCCATTTGAATGATGAGCCCTCTAATTAAATAACTAGGCTAAAACCAGTAATACTTGTACCTGCCTTCAAAGGTCCTGTCTCCTATTTGCAGAGAAAAAAGATAGAATGACCTGAGCCTTGGTCATCTTTATGGAGGGAAGAGCCCTCAAAGAGGTGATAGAAGAACAAGCAGAGCATTCCTTTCATTTTTGTGTCTATGTGCCAGGCATCGCCAAGAACTTACGGGAAAGAGGAACCCTATAACTGATGTTAATCACAACCCTGGTGACTTGTTTTTAGCTAGAACAGTGAGATTTCTCAGGTTGTCTGATACTGCCCTGAACTATGTAGGCTTTTGCCCCTAAGCCTTCATGACATTTCTTTGAGTGGTGCTTCACCTTGATCTCTCTAAATGGGATATGGGCTTTTTCTCCAGTTTCTTCTCTTAGACTATGGTCAAGTGAGATGCTCACAAAGACGGTGAGCCTTTGCTCCTCGTGCCTGTGCCAGCAGCACGCATCCAGTCACCGGGAGCTGGCAGCTCCCTCTGTCCTGTTTCTTTTTTAATTTAGCCATTTGATTTCAACTTCAGTGGTCATACCTGAAGAAGGGTTACTTTGTTGATGCTGGTGTGGGTCCTGGTGTTAGTGTAGCAACAAGAAGATCATGCACATCATGGGCGGGTTGCTTTGGTACTTAGCCAGGAGCTGGGGTAAGTTTTGCAGCTTGTAATGCTGGAGTTGCACCTAGACTATAGCTATTTTAAACTGGGAGCTGGGGTAAGTTTTGCAGCTTGTAATGTTGGAGTTGCACCTAGATTAGCTATTTTAAACTAGCTCAAATATAAACGTTCTTGTCTGCAGATTCATCTAGTAGGACGTTCCTCTTACAGCTAGAGAAGCATGATGTGTTGTGAGTGCTCCTTGCCTATCATTTCTTCCCATTATATCAGTACCCCATTATATATATTTTAGCTCAGATCAGAAATGGGGTGGTTTTTGCTTATTTGCTAACCGTCAAGACACTGAGGAAATAATGGGGAAAAGGGTGGTGCAAGAGAAGCAATTCAAAAGCACATCACAATGTCTGCCAGCCAAAGAGACCACACTTTGCTGAGCTTATTCAGGAGTTTCCTTTCAGAATGATTCAGGAGGCAACTGCAGTAACTGAACAAAGCAGTTGCTTCCTCATATCGGCTTCTCTCAGGCGGCAGAAAGCCCAGCTGGGCCCAACCGAAAGGAGCACAGCTGGCTGGTTGGTGTCAGAGAGCAGGGTCACCTTCAGCTGTCCCTGTGCAGCAAACCACAACCCCTGTGGCTGGGTCCTGAGGATGAGAGTGCACCCTGGCACAGAGGCTCCTATGGAGTTGGCTTTCAGGGATCTTGAGACTTTGGGGCAACTGTAAAGCTTGAAAAACTGTTTTATTTTCCAATAGCTACTTGGTCTGGGCTGAGCTATAACCTTCTGAAATTGAATTGTTCTGTACCGCTGCTAAACAAGCATTCCTCTCTCAAAGGAAGTCCCATATTTAAGAAAACAACACAAAGATCCCTCGACATATTAAAAGTAGAGCCTCTGAATAAAATAAATATTTTTGCAGCAACTGCTCCTGTAAATATGCAGATTATTCCTATTTTCTACTCAGAAATGCTTACAAAATGTAATGCTTACAAAAATTTAAAGATCCCACCCTTCACTTTTACATCAGATAAAGTGAGTCTTTTCTTAAAAGAGACCTCCCAATGCAGAAAAGAGGAAAGGAAAGGGCAGCCAAGAGCGAAAGAACACCCTTGCTCAAACCTGCATCTGTCAAGGTCAGCTCTGTCCCTCTGTTCCAGGCGGGAGAGGGTGGCAGCGCGGCTCTCCC